TTAACTATCGTGCGGATAAATATATTGAGTGAAGTCCCTCAGTGCTTTGAATTCGCAGTCCCGCTTTAGTCAGATTTGAGGTACACAGGTTCTCACCAATTTTAACGGGTTTTTCGGTGGCTTTCTGTTGTGGAAGAAGGTTTTTTTGGAAGATTTTTGTTTCACGACGACTTTTCTTTAGACTGCTGATTATCATTAGAAAGTCTATGTTTTGGCAATCACAAAATTGTACTCGCTTTAGACAGGTATTATTAGAGCGCTGTACCAGGGACGCCGCGAGCTATCGCGCGTATATTTCACGGCACAGAGCTCTTTCCATAGAACACTTGCTATCATTGATTAGCTAAATTTAGAATACTCAAGAAGTGTACTTGTTTTCTGAGGAGACTTTTTTTCAGCTCTCAGCAAGAGAAATAAGATTGTGTTTCATACACACTGCGCCTTATCGCGCGCATTTTCGTTCTTTATTTGAAAACTTCTCCTTCGTTGGGCAAATATTTGTAGATTTCTTGAATTGAAAAGCAAAAGGTTATATATATATATAGTATATATATATATATATATGAACATAAGCTTTCTGTGAGCCTAAGCTTTTTATTGTCATTATATTGCAAAATAAGCTCGCTAATAAACATAAGCCTAAGTAGTTTGAGTTTACGCATGAACGCATATGCGTTTAAGCATGCGGAAAAGAGTCTTAGAGTATTGGCGTCATATGTTTTATCTGCAGCTTTTTTTTCATCTGAACGGGGAAAAGCCAAAAATTAATGACGAAAACTGCCGCCACATGTGAACTGCGCCGGGACTTGATCAATCGATCGGTCGTTACACAATCTGACCGACAAGAATTACGCGCCGAGTGTGAAACTCCATCTTATTCTTCCTATTGCATTCCAGTGAAAAAGTCTTTCTAAGTAACAAGATTGCTGTTGACATTTTCGAGATTTACGCTATCGAATGATTACTAATAATCTAAGAGAAGATCTGGAGGAAAGAAAATTTGTGTGACAAAGCGCGTAGTTGTAAAGCATAATATCAATTTTACCACCTCAGCGCTATAAGGAAACATTTTTAGAAACAAGTATGTTTAAAAAATTGTTACAAATTAAACTTTAGAGAGGTATCAATAGTTCACTAAGAGTGTTTGCCCACCAAAGAAGGTTCTTTCAAGAAACACTTTCTCATGAAAAAGAAACTCATGTTTCCCATTTATCAACTCTCTGTCCTTCAAATGTTTAGCAAAGAATTCATAGGTACGCTTTTATCAAACTGAGAACAAATGAATGGAATATCTGTGAGATTATTATCCTTGAAGCGCCGTGTGAGTGAAATTTGATGCTCTCAACAGCTCTTTGTAAGTGAATTGACGGCGAGAAAGGAAAAGCGAAATCGTACTTTCGTGATCAGCCATTAGTCCGATATAGGGGACAATGGGTACAATAAAGTCTCGATCTTTAGAAAAAAATTGCTTTGATCCGTATAAAAGTGATCGCGTTCAATGGAAAATCATTTGATAAGAATGAACACCTTTGCCGCTCTTCTCATTCTAGTTGCGATACAGTCAGCCTTTTTTGCATTTACCATGATGAGCACTGACTTCAGTCCATATGGTGAGAAAATAGTGGTGTTCAAGTTTAAGCTAGAATGTTTCCACTATTATCAAACCTTATTGAATTGACGGCAATAAGAATCTTCGAGTCTTTGTTAACCAAATGCGAGTAGTCAAATCTGCCAATTTAAAATTTTGATTTTCTTTATCCTATCAGACGTTTTTTCTCGTTAAGTCTCGCTTTTCGAACACAAAAGCTATTGAACAGCGAAATTTTGTTAGGGACAGCATAAATGATGTCACCTGTCAACAGTAAAAAATTGCTATAGATTATACATATCCAAGCATAAATCTAACTGCCTTATATCGAAATAAGATTCTTAGCAGAGTGGTGGTTTTGGTGGAGTAGTAGTTGCATCCGCACGCCGCTATTTGTGAAACATTGGTTCAACTTTCACCTCACATTCATGGTTTTGCATATCATTCAGCATCTGTGAAGTGTAAACTATCAATTTAACGGAATAAAATTTATTCTGTAGATGTGTTAAGTTCGTAACACTACAAACAAGAAACAAAATGTCTCCTTTTGTCGCAAGAGGTAAAGAATTTGCTCGAGTAATTTCAGTTATCCCAATCCAGCATCTCCAACGAAGTACGGGGTTAGTTTTTCACCTTTTCTCAATTCATTCTTCAAGAAAATTCGATTTTGACCTTCCATGTGACAATGTTCATAAGAAATAATCTTTTTTCAAAAGCAGAAATACCGAAATGCAGTGGAACAGACATGACAGAAAAATTTAGATTGGACGCGTTGTCTTATCACGACCACTATAGGCCAGTTTATTAGTTAAATTTTTTGGTTTTCTTTTAGAAATCCTTAGTGGCCAATTAATCACCTATATCACTGATGTGCTTCTAAACGAAGGTTCTTCTTTAGGAAAAAACTCAAGGACGATAATAATGAGAAAGGCTATCCGCCAACGAATGATATGAAGCCACTGGTGATGAAAAGTTTTCATACAGAAAATAATTCAGTTTTGTGAGGACCTTGTTCTTTTCCATTATGATTTTATAGCAATACGACTGCCAGTTAGAGAATGACGCTCTCCAGTCTGCTCAATATTATTGTCAGCACCCCATCGATCCACACTTGATTCATCTCGGTGCTAACATCGACACCCAAACAGGTCGTGTTGCTGGCGGCAAAGCATTCGTCAACGTTGGAGCTGTGAGTTTGAAGTAGTTCTGCTCGTGTTGTTATTATGAATGTTCACTGTTAACCAAAGAAAATTCGAATAGGTGCTAGCAAGATGAATATCAAATGAAAGCAAGCTAAGAAAAGAATGAATCTATCCCCAACACCACATAGACATTATGAACTTTGAAAGCATAGATTTGAATGTTGGTTGATTTAAAGAAATAACTTTATCAAATATGAGTACTTCGCTTTTGCACTTTTTAGACGATAGGAAAGTGGTGGGACACAGCGAGATCGTACACACAGAGCAAAAGCCTGCTGCCAACAAGACACGACCCGTCAGAAGCTCCATTCCTTCAGGTTGTTTGTGGTGAAAGTGCTCTGAATTCCGAGAACAATCAGCAATAACTGTGCCTGAATGGGCCGTGTTTGATTGCGACTCGATACATACTCAAAAACACTGATGTAATGTTATCGTTCACGCGTACACACTGAGATAAGCGCATGAGCGAACTCCATAGGCACTTATTTGACTCAATGTTGAACAGATTGTAGGCATTGTTATCGATACAATATAGATAAAATAGCAAGATAGAGAAGGAACATTCAGATGGCGAATGGAAATATGACAAAAATCGGATGTGCATTTTCCATATGTGACCCTAAGAGTGAAAAAACGGACGCTACCGATGGTGAGAGCAGTGATGACGAGTCTGACAACTTCGTAGTTCCTCCCGTAAAAATTGTTTGTATGTATGGACCACCGTAAGTCATCGTATTGAATACTGAACCACGTTAATTATTGATGTTAGTTGACTTTTTTGTGATTTAGGTACATCGCTGACGGAGTCCCACTCTACACGCCCAGAACTTGAACACAGTGAGCGGCTTACGCAAATGTAAAGAGTACCATTTACATCTAAAAAACCGCTTGAGAACAACAGCGTTGTTTGAATTCTAATGAAAAATTTTTGCAAGTAATCTATTATCCAACACTTGTACAATTGATCGAATTATTCGAATAAGAAGACACAGATTTGTAACAAACGATTGGTGTCTAAGTCAAGTGTTTACGATACGAATTCAAAAACACAAGAGAACTAACGGAGAATGAACGAATAAACTCTTCTAAGTAATAAAGCCGGTGACACGAAAAATTTGTGCATACATTCTTCGTTGTTTTGATTGTGCCGCTTCATAATAAGATCTAGCCATCATAATTGTAGCACATTTACCCGTTACGATCAGCAAGCGATCGACAATCAATAGGAACCTCTTGTTGTACACTTATCGCTAAAAGTCGTTATTTATCAGAAGATGAACTAGTGTTCTGTTCAAAAATAGGAACCAATCATTCTCTTTCTTTCGTGTTACCAGTCATAGAGGCGGCTCTGGCGAATGTAGTTCTCATCAAACGACTGAGTATGATAACTATTGCTATTACTTCCTACGTTCATAATAATGCCATAACACAGATGTGGCTGTCATGAGATCACATTGCTACAAAATTTGAACTTGGGAATAAGTGTTCTACAGTATCTGTAGCATGGTTTTTCAATGACAAATCATACTGCAAAGTTTCTAATTCGACCTATCTTTTTGTTTCACTAAATCTCACTCGAGAGCTGATACTCCTCCCTTGAAATTCGATGGCTAACTTTTTGGTGACCTCGCATTCGTCAGAGCCTGGACGTAACCATACCGTATTTGATTAGTCGGTTAACATTTCGTATCACCTGTATCACCTGTCGTCCCGTTGATCGTCGAGTGACTCGAGCGGGTACCAGCAACTCTTCCATTTTTCCCTATCGCGTGCAAGAGTAGCCCAGTGGGTCCTCCTTGCTCTAGGAATTCGCTGAGCATCATATCTTTCTTCCATCGCTTTCGTGAAGAAATCGGACCAACGGGTCAGTGGTCTTCCTTTAGAGCGCTTGACGTCCCGAGGAATCCAGTCGGTAACGGCTCTCGTCCATCGGTTGTCGTTGAAGCGCATCACGTGTCCGGCCCACCTTATTTTCGATATCCTGGCGTGTAGAACGGCGTCTCTGATTTTCGATCGTTGACGTAGGTCGGAAGTTCGGATCCTTTGTCTCATTTGCGAAATACGAGACACTCCTAGCATCGACCTTTCGACTGCGCGTTCGATAACGGCAAGTGATCTTTCATCCTGCTTACGTAGCGACCAGGTTTCTGCTGCATACGTTAGGTCAGGGATAATTGTCGAGTCGAAAAGGTGGGCACGGAGTCGGATGAGTGTCGGTGGTGCAACGGTTCAGCACACGCACCCGGAAAGAGAGATCTAGGTTCGGATCCCGGCTGACGCATAACATTTCGTATATGCATTAAAAATCTAATAGAAAGGTAAGCCAACAGTTTTGCTATTATGCAACACCCTTCCACTACCTTCTCAACAATAACATGAAGGAGATCAGCGGTATTTTCTGACAAACTGTGAAAATTTAACCTCAAAGGCTGGAAAATGAATCTGAGATAAGATTGTGCCATATCATTAATTATAATCAACTACTCATGTCTTTTATTCATTCTTGGACTCTTGCCATTCCAGAAGGTTTCAAGTAGAGAGAAGGTTGAGCTCGCTTCAATGTACATGAACCTAACCACTCTCTCTACTTGAGGATTTCTCGTGTTGACGTTCTTTTTTCATATCCCAGGAGTTTTGCTGCCATCCTAAAGTCCTCATCGTTATGCCTTTTTATCCTATGCGTACCTAAACGAGTATTTATCGACTGTACGTCTCTTCGTCTAAATGTACATTGGAGAGTACTCAACCACTCTATCTACTTTCGCCTTATAATGCAGTTGATCTTAAACTTCATGCAAGTTACATGCGATACAGCGCGTTACTGTTGTGGATATGAGCTGCGCAGGTGAGTGTACTGCAAGATATACTCTTTAAAAAGTCCAGAGCTGAAGAAAACTAGTAGAAACGAACAGCAAGTCGAGGCTTCACCAATACAACCATTTCCTCGGCCGTTCTACAGACGACAAGACCTCAATGAGGAATTTGATAGAAAATTTCAGTAATTTTCAAGCAAAGGTTCTAGAACTCATATTCTTTATCGTGCAAAAGGGTTTCATCCAAACCTCACTGAACTAAAAAAGTGTGGAATGAAAATGGTGCGAGAGCTGATATGACAAGAAAG